AAAATCAATGCCGTGTACACGTCCACTGATAGGAGACGCGGAAGGTATTAAACTGATCAGAACAATACTAAACACACCACTCCTTTTTTTTTTGGTGAGGCTTTACAGGACAGAGTGCTTCTCCACGGGACATGTTAACTCACGGGCAGCTGGCTCATCAAGGAACCAGAGCAGCTTTCCATGTACAGGTAAGACACGTGCAGCCGGTAAGGGTTCAGGCTCTTCTTCCTGGAGGATACGCTGCAAGCCTGTTGAACGAGGTGACCTTGCTCGGGTCCCAGGTGTACGGTTCCTAAAATGGCTGCCATATACACGTCCACTGATAGGAGACGCGGAAGGTATTAAACTGATCAGAACAATACTAAACACACCACAAATAAGGTTTCTCTCCTGTATGGCTCCTCAAATGATGCTTAAGATTAGAAGCGGCTGAAAAGCATTTCTCACACTCCGAACAAAAATATATTTTTTTAACATTCTCTCCACTTTGAACGAAATGACGTTTGGGAAGAGATTAACATAATTAAACACAGGCAGTAAAAATACAGTTTTTAGCCATACCCTGTAACTTTAAAACTACACATCCCATCTTCATAATTACATATTTGGAATCAGCACACTTAAAACATAAACATAACCAAAAATCAGCCAAATCCATCCAGGGGTTAAAAAGTTAGCTGGAGGTCCCTTTATGACCGACCGCAAGCACATTTTCCTGCCCAAAACAGTTCCATAGATTTGGGCTGTGAGGTCGGTCTATTTCAGGCTGAAAAAACGACTAAGTCCCATCGCCGAATGGGACTTAGTCTCTGCAGCTGAAATAAGGCTGAAAAAAACGGCTGAAAAGAGTCCCTGTGTGTTTTCAAATTCGCCTGCCCATTGAAGTCAATGGCGTTTCGGGCGGTTCGCCGGTTCGCGAACATTTGCGGAAGTTCGCGTTCGCCGTTCGCGAACCGAAAATTTCGGGTTCGCGACATCACTACTTCTGTCTCTATCTTTCCTCCTGCTTCTAGCAGCTGGTGATGTCTCTCCTATCCCAGGGCCCTTCACCCCCTCTGCTCACACTAAGACAGCCAGGAAGCACACAAACCTCATCACAATATCATGTAGTTTTTCCCCATCTACCAATATTCAGTGTGCACTCTGGAACACCCGCTCCATCTGCAGCAATGTAAAATCAACAGCCATACATGACCTCTTTATCTCAAATTATTTTATACTACTTGCATTTACTGAGACCTGGCTGTCCCCCTCTCATAGAGCTACTCCTGCTTCCTTATGGTAGGCTTCAATTCTCCCATACTGCCAGACCCAGCAACTGTAAAGGTGTAGGCATCCTTCTCTCCCCTCAGTGTACCTTTGAACCAGTCTTCCCTGCCCTTGCCCTTTCTTTTCCTTTCTTTGAAGTTCACACTGTCCGCCTATTTAAACCCACACCTCTAAGAATTTCCATAATTTATCACCCCCCTAGTGATCCTAGGCTATTCATTGAAAACCTTTCTTCCTGTCTACCCCATTTCTTCTCCTCTAATCCTCATTTTCTCATTCTTGGGGACTTTAATATCCCAATCAACAATCCCAACTGCCCTGATGCCTCTTGTCTGCTCTCTATAACCTCCTCTGTTGGATTCGCAAAGTGGTCTAATTCAGCAACTCATACAGCAGTTACAAACACTCTTGATCTCATCTTCATCAATCTCTGTACCCCCTCTAATCTCTCCAATGTTCCATTTCCTCTATCTGACCACCATCTGCTGTTCATTGACATCGGCAATTTAACCAAATTACACCACCCTCACCACATCAGTCTCGCAGAAACCTCCAGTGGCTTGACCTACAGCGATTCTCCACCAACCTCCAACGTTTCCTTTCACCCATCTCAAACCTCACCTGCCTCCAAGATCCTTGAGAGAGTTCTGTATGCCAGATTGACAGACTTCCTCAAATCCAACTTTCTGCTTGATCCACTTCAATCTGGATTCTGTTGAAACAGCTGTGACCAGAGTATCCAATGATCTTTTAAAAGTTACTACTTTAGGAAAGCATATCAATTAAACTGTGAACAGCTTTCTCTCCCCGCACCCTGATTCCTCTCCTGCAACTGTCATCAAAACAACACCTAGCCCTCAGTAAATACTATTCTAGCAACATACGTTTCTACCATACCCTTACCTTTTGTGTCCTTTTGTGTCACTATACCCAGTGGTGTATTTAGGTTTTGTGCTGCCCTAGGCAGGATGGTGCTCGGGCACCCCCCCAAGTTAAATTTTCCCCACCCCTTCCTGTCAAGGCCGACTGAAAGACGCACACTTACTGACAGACGCACACACTCACTGATAGATGCATACACTTATTGACAGACACACACTCTCATATACACTGACAAACAATGACATATACACACTCACTGATTTGACACCCTGATAGACAGACATACACATACTTGGACAGTCACTGAAAACAACACCTGAGGGCTAGGTGTTGACAGACGCACAGTCTCACTGATAGATGCACGCACTGACTGACAAACGCACGCATTAACTGACAGACTCATGCACTGACTGACAGACGCACGCACTGACTGACTGACACATACACACTGACTGATCCACACACACACATTCACTGACAGACACACACTCACTCAAATTCACTGACACACACATTTACTGAAACGCACACACTCACTGACAGACACACACACGCACACACACATTCACTGAAACACACACACTCACTGACAGACACATACACTCACTCACTCACTCACATTCACTGACACACACACACACACTCATTGACACAAACATTTCCCCACACACAATTATTATTATTTTTTTTTTAAATTGAAATCCACCCAACCTCCCTACATTTGGGATAGCTAGGTGGATTTCTCACCTGGGGTCCAGTGGGGCTGCTGGGCAGGAAGCCGGCCAGACGTGCAGGTGGGTGGCCGGCGAGGGAGCACTTTCCTCTGAGCAGAGTGATGTCGGAAGCCGGAATTTGACGCCATTATTGTGGGTCACGCATGGGTATTTGGGGGCAGCTTTTTTTGCCGCCCCCTGGAAATTGTAGCCCAAAGCAAATGCTTTGTTTGCATTGTGGTACACACACCCCTGACTATACCCCACTCCCTCTAGCATGGAAGCTCATTGAGCAGGGCCCTCAATCCCTCTGTTCCTGTGTGTCCAACTCGCCTGGTTACAAATACGTGTCTTTTAGTCATAATAATATGAAAGGCTTGATAATAGATTTAGGACATACTAATTCTCATAAAATAATTAACATGATTTCCGAAGTGGTAGTTACAGGAACATCTTGTGTTGGCTACAGAGAACACATTTTTTTATGGCTGTGGATTCCTTTCAATTTTTGAATATTCTTTTTTTTTTTTTACAAAACAACAGTGATTCTCTATGTCTCCCCTAAAACGTGGTAGATCCATCTCAAATGAATAATAGATAAGGTCTTTCAGTACTGTAAGAAAGGATATCCATAGGCTGATTTACAGTGAATTGTATCCTATTTGTTTGGATAATTATAAAGAATTTTAATTTAGTATTTAATTCATTGGATGCACAAAATAGGGCTAGTGAAAGATTATGCCTGTGACTTGATTTTTTTGGAGTTAGATTATTCTTTTGTTTTTTATTTGTTTATATATTTGAGCATGTTTTGTAGTAAAGAGGTTACTTTGCGTTTAGGAACATTTTACTAGCTTGATGATAATACGTTGGAGGCTTTATATAGGAAAACATTCTTATATTAGTTGGGTTTTTTTAAGTGGAGATTATTGGAAATATTTACAAATATTTAGAAATACTCCCTATCTGCCCTGTCCTCCCCAATATTACAATAAGCATCAATAGGTTTGAGTATATAACAGTTCTATTTACTGTTTCTGATAGGTGTGTGGGGTCTGATTTAGTTTTAGGTTAATGAGATTTACAGACATTTATAATGAAACCTGTGAATTATTATCTTCCTTATAATATTTAATAATGTAATAATTGTAAGGGAAAATAAAACACGCTGAGTTTGAACATGTTTGTGTGTATGGAAGAGTGTGTATATTCTATTCAGTCATTGACCAAGGTTACAATTTAAATTCTCATTCTGTATACTTGTTTTTGGTAAATTCAGTGACAGAGATGAAAAGCAATAATAAGTTGCATTAATCAAATTAATTTATTATGATTGAGGTAATTTGATAGTTTTAGCAAAGATTATATAGATTTAATCATTAAATAAGCAATATACTGCCATGCATTTTTTTTAAGCATGAGCCTCTTTGTGACCTTCTTCAATTCTTATTTCTTGCATCCTGACTTCACTTGACTGGCTGGTTGGCTCACAGCTGGCTGATACTGGGTTGGTTGGCTCACGGCTGGCTGACACGGGGTTGGTTTGCTCACAGCTGGCTGATACTGGGCTGGTTGGCTCACAGCTGGCTGACACGGGGTTGGTTGGCTCACAGCTGGCTGATAAGGGGTTGGTTGGCTCACAGCTGGCTGACACGGGGTTGGTTGGCTCACAGCTGGCTGACACGGGGTTGGTTGGCTCACAGCTGGCTGATACTGGGTTGGTTGGCTCACAGCTGGCTGACACGGGGCTGGTTGGCTCACAGCTGGCTGAGTTTGGTCTGGCTGGCATGGAGTTGGCTGAGGTACCACAGGTACCACTGTGTCTATTAATGACAAACACAACTTCATAAAAATACAAAAATAATTTCAATCATATATCATCATAGTTTAAATAATACAGTAAAATCTTATATTATGCCAAAATGGCTATATCTTTTTTGAATGGCCATGTCCAGATAGCTGGGTGAAATTAGCACAATCTCTCATTAATAAATACATCTGGCGGGGCAAAACTCTGAGAATAAATTTGAAGCGCTTATCTTTAAAAGTTAAATTAGGAGGATTAGGGATCACTATCTTGAAAGACAATCAAAAGGCTTGTAGTTTATCGCATGCCTTTAACACTCAATTAGAGAGCTCTAGGGTGGAAATTTGGTATAAAATTGAACAGGATTTAACTCAAGTTGAAGTGCCCTCAATGGAATAGGGACCCTTATTTTGGATAATTCAGCCAAAATATGTCAGTTCACTAACATATAGTTCTAACAGTGTCACACTTAATGGTATTTTAACTGAGTGGGCGAAAAACAGAAAAGAAATTAATTTGTATAACAAGTTAATACCCTCTCTTCCACTGGCTTATCTTGCATACTGTATTCCAGATATAAAGCTAAATAAGTGGTCGGAAGGAGGGCTGGTAAGAAAAGATAATCTAATAAATAATAATTCCTGGACTGATTTTCCGTCGTTAAATTTGAAATATAAATTATATGGAAAGGAAGTTTTTAATTACTTTTGGTTAAAAGGTTTTTGTCAGGAATATGTTTCTAGAGAAAAATCGAATAACATAATTTGGCTTGGAAAAATATCGTCAAAAAAATGAATAGCTGACTGTTTACAATTTTTGTCGAGACCCCGACAAACCTACAGTAGCAATTATTAATAAATGGCAAGCTGACCTAAGTGTCCAAATTAGTTGCGAACAATGGAGAGAGGCCTTATACTCAGTTTGTAAAAATATTCATTGCCTTAAGTTAGTAGAATGCCAAACAAACTCGCAAACAGATGGTATATGGTTCCTAGCAGAACGGGTAAATTTATCAATAGTCAAGATCATAGATGTTGGCAATGCAGTATAGAAAGAGGAGACTATCTACACATATGGTGGGATTGTGGTCCACTTCAGCTATTTTGGAAGATGATGTTACACAAGACTAAAATTTTATCTTCTATAAATTTATCGTTCTCCTTCATATTTCTCCTTCAATTAAATATTAGACAACTATGTGGCAATTTAGCTCCCTTCGTAATTCACATATTAGTAGCCTCTAAGATTACTATTGCAAGATATTGGAAACTTTTCGCTAGTTCCAGTTTGGCCTATAGTTAAAGAACAATTGAAATTTTAAATAGTTAAAGGGCAACAGTTATAGGATAACAACATAGATATGATCTTTGGTTACAAAAAATAGAAAATAGTTAATTTCTCTTATACACCTTATTTCAAATATTGGATCCTCAATATAGCTATTTTGTGTTATTCTCTTATGAAGGTAGGGCTGCTGATGACATGGGATTTCTATAGTCTCCTGGTATGCCCCACCGAGGATCAAGCTGGTTTGAAGGATAGATTGATTGTACTATGACCACGATTGTTACGTGGCTTTTGTTTGTAATGTTAAGTTGAGTATGGAGGTTTTTTTTGTATTATTTTCTTATTCCTCTTTTTATTTATGTGGATACATTTACTGAGTAAATCCATTGGAAGAAGATTTAATTAGTCGTGCTAACACAACTTTGAAAATGTGACATGAATAATAATATAGAAGATTTTGGCTAAATAAGTTTTAATACTCTGTAAGTATGCAAATATTGGATCCTCAATATAGCTATTTTGTGTTATTCTCTTATGAAGGTAGGGCTGCTGATGACATGGGATTTCTATAGTCTCCTGGTATGCCCCACCGAGGATCAAGCTGGTTTGAAGGATAGATTGATTGTACTATGACCACGATTGTTACGTGGCTTTTGTTTGTAATGTTAAGTTGAGTATGGAGGTTTTTTTTGTATTATTTTCTTATTCCTCTTTTTATTTATGTGGATACATTTACTGAGTAAATCCATTGGAAGAAGATTTAATTAGTCGTGCTAACACAACTTTGAAAATGTGACATGAATATTAATATAGAAGATTTTGGCTAAATAAGTTTTAATACTCTGTAAGTATGCAATGTGTCCGGTATTGTGTTTATGTATACGAAGAAGATTCCATTAATATAATGTGTTGGATAAGTATTAAAACATTTAATAAAAAGTATAAATATTAAAATACAGATTTACATGTGCATTTATTTTCATTCAACCATAAACGGGATATTTGTTAATCTTCAATGATCTTTATTATTTGTAGCACGTCTTGGTGTTGATATATTATTAGCAAACTCACATCACTAGTCAAATATATACAAATTAGTAGTAATCTGTATTAACAAACTAACGTGTACTTGTAAACATATCAGGGTATAGTCTCCATTTTACATGAATTGTCTGGAAGTATTGATTTAACTCTATTCTCCTGCACGTGTTCTTGGATATTGCAATCCACGCTTTTTTCATTTTTCATTGCACTCCATACTTTTTTTGAAATGCGTTGTACAGATAAGACATTGAAATACATGCACAAACTAATAAACTCAAATAATAAAAAATAACAAGTCATTCACATTTTTCTGCTTCTACAAAATTAACAAACCATGCTTTCCAAGTCTGCGTTACAAAGACAATGAAATAATCAGAAATTTAATGAATGTTAATGCTTAACTCTTGTCTTTTTTATATTTAAAATGTATATTTGTATTTGTCTAATTTTTTCTCTTACCAATATTGAAACATGACTGTACCAGGGATAACTAATAGCAGATGGAAATTATTTTACCATTTTCCCCAGACCCATAATCAATATATACCATTAACGGCTGCGAAATATAAGGGTGTTGTCTTGAATGCTTCTCCAATTTAGAGTAGTAAACACCAGAGATCATTCTAGGGGTGTTTTGAAGTGCTAACCTCATCCCATTACTGTTGTCATTCTTGCTTTGTGATTGAAATGATAATCTGAGCCAATTAAAAACACTAATTTAAAGAACGTAAAAGCCCCCAGTCAAGCAGTACGGACACCCTGAGTATTTAATGCATTGCATTAAATATTCCAATGGCCATAGCCAAATTTGTTCAGAGCGGGCAAGGCATTCATTTTACTGAATGACCTTGTTGTGATGTTCAAATTCAAATGCATAAAGCCCGCTGTCCAATAGGAATTAACGTTTCAAGTCCAGCAATTAGTATGGAACTACAAAGTATCTCCATCTGCAAACAATATGGTGGGCCATAAACAAACATCGTAGCCATAGCTATGACAGAGCCAAACCTTCACAACAAAGGGGGATTGTAAAATGTAAGGGACATATTTGACATCTTTGCTCAAAAAGCAAAATACATTCAAAACTGAAAGATTTATCTGCAAGGTGCGAATGTATCAGCTTTAGAAAAAGTTTGAATGCAAGTCCTTTTTCTATTTATTTATTTTTCATAGTGAATAACTTACTCTGTTTGTCCGCATGATGATGGTGGTGGTGCTTCTCATAATGACCAACATCTTTTGGTTGATCCTTGTGACCTCCTTTGACTCCAGACATGGCTTTGAATAAGGCTATCTGCTTCTGGATCCAAATTGAGTAAAGAGAAATTAATGTTTGACTGTTCTACAAAAAGGATCCTCTTTTATACTCGCTAATGGATGCAGATTAGTCATGTGTTGATTTGGACATGAAGAATGAGGATATTCAGGAAATGTTTGCTTACATAGTTTTACATCCCTTTTGACAGCTGATCCACCTCAATCCCCCTTCAATTGCTTCACCATTTCATGATTCACCAGAATCTTTGTGTCTCCTTAGGTTGAAGAATATACGATTGTGTGATTTTGGGTGGACTCAGCATCTCCCTAATCAATAAGGTGAGGCCAAATACAACATAATGAAAAACAAATGTGCAGTTTAGTGTATATCACTCTGACTTCTTAATTGTATACCTGTCGTTATATTAGGTTTATATCATTTTTATCACTTGTGTAACAATTTCCACTGGTATAGCAAGTATGAGTAATAATTATTACTACTTCAATTGTGGATTTCTGTTTTTGAGATAAAAACCTGAGAAAAATGTTTTTACCTCCAAGAATTATTATTTTGTTTCTCGGTCTCAAAAAAATGTGGGAGCCATTCTAGAGAAATTGAATCTATCTGTGATCTTTTTATACCTGGATTTTCATTTGCCACCAGTGACAACAGTATGTAAATAAGTCGTAATCTAAGTATATTATTTTCTAACCATTTACATTTTATTTAATCTATAAGGAAATGTGTTAAACCCACCTGACATTTTAAAATTGTGGTTTGAAAGTTTTGAATTTTAATTTGTTATTGAACTAAGATTTATAATCATTGCCCACTCAGCTATCAAATGTATTTTCTTGACTGACTACTGGTAGTCAAGTTGCCCTCATACATTAGAGTCACCAAACACACTCTTTTTGAGTTATCTAAGAACTTTACTTATGTAGTTTAGACACCGAAGGTCGTAAATATTTATATGTATTTTTTTATCACCGTGCAACATTTACCAGTGGTATGGCAAACTAATTTTGGAAAACATAACAATTTTATTCTGGAATTACTGAACTTAATAATTTTGCACATGTTTTATGTGCTCGACATTACCTATTACTACCAAGTGAAGGGGATTGTGATGGGGATGGCTTGTGCCCCATCGTATGCCAACCTTCACAATGGTGGTGGTTTTCTCAGATAAAATGAGGTGTCACATGGAATCCATTATAATCTGGAAATGTTTTATAGATAACGTGTTGATTATTTGGACAGACACATTGAAGAAATATTCTACGGGTTTGTGAACATACTTAATAATAGTCAATACAATTTGAAGTTCACAGCGGAGCTTCGCAATCCACCTTTGTACTTTCTTGATACAACATTAACAATAAGTTCAGTAGGCAACATTAAAACCAATCTATATAGGAAACCTACAGATACCAATAGTCTCTTAAATTGGGACAGTTATCATCCTATCCCACTGAGGAAAGGAATCCCAGTGTGACCATATCTTTGGCTCAGACAAAATTGTTCTGGTCTTAATGCATTCAAAAGCAAAGTAAGGGGAATGGGCATTTTCAGAGTGAAGAGATATCCTAATAGATGTCTTAACAGAGCTTACAACAGGACACTCATGACTGACAGAACCTAATCAATGAAAAAGGATTAGGTCAACCAACAGAAATAACTTAGACGTATTGCTAGATTTGATGCATGATGGGACCATGTAAAAGATCTTAGGTAGATTCTAGCCTCTATTGACGCAAGACAACCTGCTGAGGGATGTAATATCCCCACATGTATCAATCACTGCAAGAAGGGGCAGGAATCTAAGGGTCCTATTGGTCCGAAGTTACTTTTAACCTAAAAGACCTCCAACTAACTGTCTATCGAACAAACTAACAGGTACCCATTGCAGGTTTGCAACAATGTGCAATAAAATTGTTTAGAAATTGTTCATTTCTTATCTCCTCTTCTATAATAATTTACAGTTGGATATTTCTAGTCGGAAGAAAAATGAACTAGATTCTTTGAGTGGCATCGGAGCAATCTTAGACCCTCATACCAGACCACCCCATGAGATTCCTTTTTTATATATGATGGGGTAATTCACAATACCTACTATAATAAACAACAGGGGACTAGTGATCCCAACAGAAGTTCAGGAATATGATGTATTTGGCTTCTTGGTGAAGAATGGTCCCATCTTTTGATATAGGATCGTGGGGAACATTTAATATCCTTATATACAATGAACAACATATACCTGCACATGAATATGTCTCCCTGGTTTTATATCTTGTTCCTAAAACCATGATTATAGCAAATTCCTGGTATGTACTATAATATGAAAATCTAAAAAAATTAACAAGTGTGCTAATTATAGTATGTTGTCTGGTGCAGCTAAAATTACCCAAGTGTAATGTCACTGTTTACACTTAACAATTGTAATAAAGTGAAAAGAAAGAAAAGGTGATTTGTGCACACAGAAACAAATAACTTGTTTACCTTATATTCATTAACATTCTAATAATCAAACCATAGGTAGTTCTTTGAAACCTATTTTTAAATGAATTAAAAAACACACATAGTGTAAACTGTATATGTGAGTTAATATAAGTGTTAAAATATTCCTTCAAACTCACAATTCCCAGATACCATTAAAAGCTGGCTCGGTACTTATGGTGCTTTTCATCTCATCCGTGAGATATATAATGGGAATGCAGAGTAAACGCCCTCAGGAACTCGGTACTGTTGGTTTTATAGGAAACGTCAGAGTCCAGGGTGGATATTTAGTAAAAATGTATTTAACAGAATTAAAAACAAAATTTAGTTTTTTTAAAAATAGAATATAAAATATTGTAAAGTAGCAATTTTTATATATCGGGTGCATGATTTTGGTGCAAAACTGGTCCTATACAAAAGATATATTGACGATATTTTTATTATTCGGAAGGGATCTGATGATCTTTTTAATGTCTTTTTTAATTCTCTCAATCTTAATGATTGGGGAATTTGTTTAACTAAAAGTGTGAGTAATAGAAGTATTGATTTTTTACATCTGAATATTTATACTTTTAACAATATTTTAATGACTCAGACTTTTTAAAACAAGTGGATGTGAACAGCTATATCGTGTTCAATAGTTGTGACCACAAGCCCTGGCTGTCCAATATACCGAGAGGACAATTGTTAAGATTACAAAGAGACTCTTCTAACAATCAAGATTTTTCGAACCAGGCCGAGTTTTAAAAAAAAAAACATTTGTCCAAAGAGGTTCCAATGAAAGCGATCTGGATATTCAAATTAACAATGTTACATTATTAGAAAGATCCCCTCTTTTAAAATATAATAATAAGAAAAATACGACAGACAATAAATATAAAAATAGTCAGATGCTTTTTATTTTTAATCATTCAAGCAAAATAGGTGCCATTAAGAATATTATAAACAAAAATTGGCGTATTTTACAACAAGAAGAGGAAATACAGAAATATATAGGTTCCAAGACAAAATGTATTTGTAGATGTGCAAAAAATTTTAAACAGATTTTAACTAACAGTTTCTTAGCGAAAAGAATTCCAGATAATACCAACTTCTTAGCAAATTGGTAAAAAGTATTGGTAGTGGAGCGCTGATTGAAAATAGAGATAGATGAGAATAGGGTGCAAAAATAGGGAACCTAACAACCTATACAATATTGAACAAAATAATTAATAAACCCTTTTCTTCTAATAGATAATAAGTCAATGACCTTATTAACACACTGACGATTAGTATTAAAAATCCATTTTATTTATCAATATAAAAATATATCTAAAAATATAAAAATAAACTTTCCATATATCACATATAATTTGTCTATTAGGAATCACAAATCAAGCCATGAAAAGTCCAGACCTTATTTGAAATTCTCGGCGTCCTGAGTCAGGAAAATGGTAGTGCTGAAAAATATCAAACAATAGTCTTCTCTGAAGTTGAGTTGATGGCTGATGGTGATGGGAGTCAGACCCCTCCAGGTGCCTTTCTCCACTTTGGCGGCTTTATCAATGGATGCGGTCTGTCTCTTGGTGTTCGTTTATATAGTGTCTGCCGGCTTTCTTTTGACCGTGGCAAATTAGTGATCAACAGTGTGTGTTACAAATTCTATCCATTCACTATGTATCTAAATAACAATATTTGATTAAACCCAGAAGCTATTTTAATTAAATTGCTACTTATCATTTTAATCGGCACAATGTATCACTTTCTCGTTTAACTACCGTTACTATGGTAACACCCGCTTGAGCGGGTTTAAATGTAACTGACATTTATTTCGATCTGATTAAACAGAGAAAGGTAGAGATAGGATGAAAGAAAGGTTGAAAAAAAAGAGGGTGTATAAGAAGATTATTTTTCTTAAATCTTATGCTGTAGAGCTTATTCAAGGGGAAATAGTTACCATATTTCAGCCGAAAAAGATAATTTTAATATATAAGGATTGTTAAGACAGTCTAGAAAGTCTACTCTTAATAAGTGTGTTGCAATTCCTTTGTATTAGTTCACTTCATCTTCGATATGGGCTTAGGACCAAAAAATGTATTAACTATGTAATTCGTCATATGAGTGTGTTATTCTTAAAGGGACCCTCCCTATATTACTCAGGGTACATCCCATTAGAAAAAATCCTAAAAATAAAATAAAAATATGAGTAGAAATAAAAATAAATAAAAACTAAAAATAGCAATTATGATAAAATCGAATAAGCCTTGCAGCTTCCTATCTTAAAGGGCCAGGCACAAACTCTTAATAAAAAATTTAAAAAAACTAGTTTACGCAATTGTTCCGCTAGAAGAGTAGAAGTTCATCCCAAAAAAATGACAGAGTTCAAACTCAGCATTTAATCCCTTAGGCTGCAGCGTATCTAAATTGTATATCCATTTCATTTCGGTGATGTCCAGTTGTTTATTATGAACTCCTCCTCTCCAGTTTTTGTTTACTTTACATATCCCTTTAAAGTCCAAAAGGCTCATATCTGAATTGTGTTGTTGTTTAAAATGGGCTGACACCAAGTGCTGCATATATCCTTTCCTATGTTCAGCATATGCTCTCTGAGTCTAACGTACATTTGCCTCTTGGTTCTTCCTACGTACTGGAGTCCACACGGGCACTCCAGTACATAGATCACGTTAGTGCTATGGCATGTGATGTGTTCTTTTATTTTAAAAGATTCCGTCTCTTTCTTGCAGTTCTTTTTCATGACTTCAAATACTCCTTTTATTTGTTTGTTCCTACTTGTTTTGCATGGATGCAATCTAAACAAAAGAAGAAACCGTTCTTTTTTGTTTTGGTTCCGTCTTTCCTTCCTCTTAGGTGCTTGTTTGTTATTTTCCTTCTTGGATTAGGTGCACCCCTGAAAAAAATTATAAGTCTTTCCGGTAAACTGCCAGCAAGTATTTTATCTTTTTTCAATAGATGCCAGTGTTTTGTGAGTATTCTTTTTAATTGTGCATTTTCTTTATTGTAATTTAAGATGATCGCTGGAAACATTTCTCCTGGTCTTGTTGCTTGTGGTTTATCTTTATTCTTTAGGAGATTAATACAGTCTAAATCCTCTACTCTACATAGTGCATCCTCTATTTCATTGTGTTGATAGTTATTTGACAGGAATTTATTCTTCACTATTTCCGCCTGTTCCCTGTATACTTCAAAGTCTGTACAGTTGCATCTCAGGTGCCTGAATTCATTATAAGGTACATTTTTAAACCATGCAGGCAAGTGACAGCTCTCTTTAAGGATGGAGCTGTTCACGTCTACGTCTTTGAAGTGTGTTTTTGTTTTGACTGTGCCGGAATCTATATAAATTGTTAGGTCAAGGAATTCCACTTGTGTTTTATTGCAGGTAGTGTTCAGTTTAACTCAGCAGGTATTCTTGCTCACGTATTCTAGGAACTCTTGCAGGTCTACCATCTTGCCTTCCCATATAAAGAAAACATCATCGATGTATCTTTTATATCTGTGGATATTCATATTCCAGGGATGCACATTCCAAATGTGATTGTCCTTCCAATCCCCCATGAACAGGTTAGCAAAGCAAGGGGCAAATTTCGTCCCTATAGCAGTTCCCTTCTTCTGGAGGTAAAACTGATCTTCAAATAGGAAATAGTTGTTTTTCAAAATAAACACAATCCCTTCTATTATAAATACAATTTATAAGGACACGACACAGATGATTAAAGAACTGGACTCTATTTCCTGGCACGATAACTACATTTTAGTATCCACAGACGTGACCTCCTTGTACACGTTCATAGACCACCAACAAGGCTGTGACTCCGTGAGGAATGCATTAAAGAAATATGGGGAACTGGAAGACACTCAAATTTCATTTTTTTTTTTTTATTAAGGATTTTTTCTAATAGGATATACCCTGAGTAATATAGGGAGGGTCCCTTTAAGAATTACACACTCATATGACGAATTACATAGTTAATAAATGTTTTGGTCCTAAGCCCATATCGAAGATGAAGTGAACTAATACAAAGGAATTGCAATACACATATTAAGATTAGATTTTCTAAACTGTCTTAACAATTCTTATATATTAAAATTACCTTTTTCGGCTGAAATACGGTAACTATTTCCCCTTGAATAAGCTATAGCATAAGAGTTAAGAAAAATAATCTTCTTATACACCCTCTTTTTTTCAACCTTTCTTTCATCCTATCTCTACCTTTCTCTGTTTAATCAGATCAAAATAAAAGTCTGTTACATGTAAATCCGCTCAAGCGGGTGTTACCATAGTAACGGTAGTTAAACAAGAAAGTGATACATTGTGCCGATTAAAATGATAAGTAGCAATTTAATTAAAATAGCTTCTGGGTTTAATCAAATATTGTTATTTAGATACATAGTGAATGGATAGAATTTGTAGCACACACTGTTGATCACTAATTTGCCACGGTCAAAAGAAAGCCTGCAGACACTATATAAACGAACACCAAGAGACAGACCGCATCCATTGATAAAGCCGCCGAAGCGGAGAAAGGCGCCTGGAGGGGTCTGACTCCCATCACCATCAGCCATCATCTCAACTTCAGAGAAGACTATTGTTTGATATTTTTCAGCACTACCATTTTGCTGACTCAGGACGCCGAGAATTTCAAATAAGGTCTGGATTTTTCATGGCTTGATTTGTGATTCCTAATAGACAAATTATATGTGATATATGGAAAGTTTATTTTTATATTTTTATATATATTTTTTATATTGATAAATAAAATGGATTTTTAACACTAATCTTCAGTGTGTTAATAAGGTCATTGACTTATTATCTATTAGAAGAGAGGGATTTATTAATTAATTTGTTCTTATCAAATTGTTCAAAAAGTCAACAAGGTTTTTTTCATTGCGGTATGTGTAACACATGTAAAAATACGGATATAACAAACAAAAATGTTCAGCTCTCTTATAACAAAAAAAAGAATTTAAAATAAAATCTATGATTACATGTCATTCAAGTAATGTCATATATTTATTTAGCTGTACATGCGGATACCAATATGTTGAAAAAACGTTGAGACCTTTAAAAGTCCGAATAGGGGAACATGGAAGAAATATCAAAAAAGCATTTTTAAATCACAGCGTATCGAAATATTTTTTGGAAAAACATAGACCAGACCCAAAACTTGTAACCTTTTGTGCAATAGGAAAAGTTCAAGCACATTGGAGAGGAGGTAACCTCCCTAAAACAATTAAGTACCCAGAAAGTAAAATGGATTTTTGAGATGCGCACTTTAACCCCTATGGGCCTTAACATTGATTTTAGAATTAATTATATTTTATGAAAAGGAATTTTTAAACCTTGAACAATTTTTACTTTTCCTTTTTTTATGTTCATATATTATATAGTATTATTCTAGGTTTTTTTCTAGGTATTTTATTTGTATAAAAAAGTCTTGTCAGAATATCTACCTCACAATTCACTTGAAGCTAAATATACCCCCTTTTTTCTGTATTGGTTTTTGCACTTATTTTTATATGTATTTTTTTAACTGCATGAGTCTATTAATAATTTATAGTGTTAAATTATAGGAAAGTCTTTTTCATATATTTATAATGGAAATGGATTTTAATATATATTATTTTTATATCTCCCCCATTACATTTTTTGCCTTTCTAATATGGACTGTGGACACATTAACATCTATGCCCCACTCTAAAATAGATGACTGTGAAAATAACACTGATCTGAAGAAAAGACTGTTTCGGCATGACGGACGTAAAGGCGCATGCGCCATAGGAAATGACGTATTGGAACATTATGATCAGCTCGACGGAATACATAGCTGTGAAGGACTGACAGTCGGAAATGGAACATTGGCAATAAATGAATTATGTGCAGCCAGGGGACATCTTGGGAAGGGCAAGGACAATATGTGCGAGATCGGAAGTTCGGCCACATTGAGATTGGCGAGGAACTTCCGGTTTTGACCAAATATGGATGTAGGTGGTAATTTTATACAGATGTATTAAATTGTTTTAATTATATCGATGTTTGTATGATATATAAGAGTGAATGTGCTCATTTGAAAAATAGATGCACATGAGAAAGACCCGTCTGAAAGGGTGAAACGCGTTGTGCTACTTTACAATATTTTATATTCTATTTTTAAAAAAACAAAATTTTGTTTTTGTTTTTAATTCTGTTAAATACATTTTGACTAAATATCCACCCTGGACTCTCTAGTTTCCTGTAAAACCAACAGTACCGAGTTCCTGAGGGCGTTTACTCTGCATTCCCATTATATATCTCACGGATGAGATGAAAAGCACCATAAGTACCGAGCCAACTTTTAATGGTCTCTAGGAATTGTGAGTTTGAAGGAATATTTTAACACTTATATTATCTCACATATACAATTTACACTATGTGTGTGTTTTTAAATTCATTTAAAAATAGGTTTCAAAGAACTACCTATGGTTTGATTATTAGAATGTTGATGAATATAAGGTAAACAAGTTATTTGTTTCTGTGTGCGCAAATCACCTTTTCTTTCTTTTCATGTACTATAATATGTTTATAATTGAGACGCTGATTGACACTGAATTAGTTAATGTGAGTTAGTGGTTGTGGAATTTCAGATATGGATGTTCTCAGGTTGGTAGGTTGCCTCAAAAGCTGTGAGTCAACCAGGGTATTTAGATTGAGATCGGTCTATCATGGATAGATTGTCAGGCCACCGCTGGTTTCTGCTATTCAAGGGATGTCCCCTACTAGTGATCATTCAATACACAGTGCTATTTTTCTATATATTACCTTTTCGCTCTTTCCTAGCTATGTTGTTTCCTGGTGGGGTTTACTTACAGTGATAGGCTTAGCAGTTAGCCTGCTTCTCCTATATTCCAGGTAAGTCTATACTTACAGGTGGGGCTGACTGTCGGTGATAGGCTTAGTAGTCATTTGGTTTCTTTTTGACTCTATCATTGTGTACCTCTTTAGGTGGGGCTGCCTCTCGGTGTTAGCCATGCATTTATTCCGATTTAGATCATGTTGTATCTTTATTAAGTGGGGCGGACTCACAGTGATTGATTTAACTGCTCCTCCTGTACTTTGTATTGTATACTTGTTTCCGCGACTTTGCCGGTGAGAGGCGTATAATATATTTGGCCTGTTTGTATTATGAGTCGATTGAGTTATTTTGGGCTACTTGCTCTTGTTATCCACCCAAGTGAGTCTGCCTCCTATAGGATCCTTGATTTTATAGTTCCATATCACTTGAGACGTATATCTTAGATATGGCTGGCAATGATAGGATATGTATCACCCAGCCCCCAGGAACATTAGATACTTGGTGTTAACGTTATGTCCCTATCTTTCCTTAGTTCTATAGCAGTTACTCCATTTTGATACGATGTTACAGTATTCAGGTCGGCATGTATCCAATAAAGTCAATGTAGACACTAATCACAATTTATTCGAGCAGATGCTTAGTACAATGTATCCACAACTTACAGTTATCAGTGTGTTTCTTTTTATGGTATAAACTCTTTACTTTTTGTATCTGCTGTGCAATCCTGCCATTACCAGATTAGGGATCCCTTCTTGGGAAACTCTGCTCTACTTTGTTTGTGTATATTCATAATCCCGGCACGTGCCCAGGATAGAACTGGCACTAGTCTAGCTGACTAACCACTACAGACTATCTACAGACTAGTGGGGAATTTTTATATCGTTTTTTACTATCAATTGTATTATTTGCATTCAATTTCAGTATAAATCCAACACTATAGATTAGAAATATTTTAATGATTTTTTTTTTCGTAGACATAGTTCCCTGCCTTCGCTAACGGCAGCAGCAGTGCCACATTTCACATTAGGCAAAGTATGCACCTACCAAAGTATGTTACCACTGTAACACTCAGTGCTCTCCTAGCTCCTCCAGTGTCTGTGTGTGAGGCTGGACAGGAATTGGAAGGGATCACGTCCCATCTGCCCACTAACAGCCTCTCACACAGGAAATGCCTTGCAGGAGGAGCGGGGGAAGCTCTGTGTGATGTAACAGCTCCTGCAGCTCTAATATCATCGGATTGACAGGTCTACAGAAGATATAGGAGGGAGAGTACTTTACAAATAACCAGGCAGTAACTGAACCAATTACAATGCAAACCATCACTTTATAGCTATGTCTTCTAGAGTTAACCCTTTCCTGCCTACATTTTTGTCTTGTACTGATACCTTTTTTTTTACTTTCATTACACTAAATTACAAAAAAAGTTATAATTGTGTGCCCTTTGCTGTTCTTAAAGGAACACTCCAAGCACCATAAACACTATAGTGGGCTGTTGTAGTTATGGTGCCTGTATTGCACTGATGAACAGCATGATTTCTTACCTGGTGTCCACTGGCAACCACTGCCTGCCTCCACTATTTATGAGTGAGACCTGGAAGTTCTTAAGCAGGAGTGTCCATTAGCTCTCTTGTGCAAAGCTAGCCCATTTGCCTAGAGTGTCAGCAGATCACTCTCATCCAATGAGCTATGCCCTGCACTGCTCAGCTTAGCTCAGACAGAGAGCTTCCTACAAAGGAGTGGGCACCAGGCTCTGGTAATGATGCTTTGAGTATTCCTTTAACCCTTTCTTTGTGGCCGGTTTTACCTCCAATATTTACTCCTCCTGTGCAGCCATTATGCATGTGTTTACAGTCTCACCCACCTCTCCATTCCCCACCATAACACCTAAAACCATAGAAATATGTTATTCAATTTTTTTCTGTTAATAAACTATTGGGATAGCCCTAATGAACTATTACCATGCCCCCATATCCTACATTATGGTGCATTCAGATAGGTTAATGTGCACACACTGGCCAAGGACTTAGTTCAGAGCTGGATTACCATTAGGCAACCAAAGTGGCTGCTTAGGGACCAGTGAGACCCTGATTGAGCCTGGAGCTTCGACTCTGATCAAAAATTGTCCCTGCCGGCCCTTTAAAAAAATATCCTTCCCTGGTGGTCTTTGATGGAGCTGTAACTCCCTCGCAGTTCTAATGCTTTGTGAGGGACTCAGAATTTAGAAGCCAGAATTCCAAACCTATGCTCTGACCAAAGAGCACCAGACCAGAAGGCCTGCAGCTGCAACAATGGTCTACCGGACCACCATGGACCCCACCAGACCACCAGGTAATGTGTTTGTGCCCCCCCTTCCAGCCAAACCTCTCACATAGTGTTGCTCATACACAAATGTAGCCCTAATAATCGTCACTCACCCCCCAACCTTGTCACCCTTACCATCCCTCACTATCACACTCACCACCCCTCACTCTGCCGCACTAAACCCGACACTCTGTCACAGAGGTACACATTAATACACAATGATGCTCTTGCACATATTCGTTCACAAATTCAAGGTATTCATAAGTAATAGACCTCCTACTTTCCCACAAAGGGTTATCCCAGGCAAGAGCTTTACTGGTCGATTCTTAGCTCTATCAGATGGAAATGACTTGGATGAAGCTTTAAAGTGGTTTTGAATCCCTACACAAGTGCTTGTGGAGCAGGGAGCGATTCAGCTGGAGTTGGGCAGTACATGCCAACAATGTTTGAAACGCCTGAGCAAATTGATCCATGCCATGATCAAGTTCCTCTAACTTTGCCTCACAAGTCAACTTTTGTTGACTTAATCCTGCAGTGTCCATGGCCCTGTTGTAATATCAAGATTAACAATTACCCCAAATGCAGAACTTAAGTCAACTAAATAAATCTTAACCAGAAATCCTTAAATGTATTACCAGACTTTAGAATGGCAGGATTTAATGTTAATAATAGAATAGTACAGGACAAGCTGAGATCAGTAAACAGGATGGAGGTAAACATTAAGACAAGTCAGAGGTCAAGAAATACAGACGTCAGAATAGTCAAGGTGCAAGCCAATTGTCAAAACACAATGGAATCAATAGAATAAACGCACTCTCGGATTTCCAGAATGTCACTGAGAAATATTTATTTTGAGTTTAAATAGCCTAAAAATGATGCTGATTGGCCAATGGTCATCACACGACAATGTGTGTGTGACGTCAACGTGATGGCACATGCATGTTTGTGACTGGAAATAAGGGTTGAACCGATGTAGTCATAAAAGGCTCTATCATGCAGCGCTAGGGTATCTCAGACTATCAGAGGTGGGCGCTGAGGAGGAAAGGCTAAACTGTAGTGGTGGCGCTCCCACAAACATTGTGGGAGCACACTGTTTGGAGTGCACCAAATGGACACTGGGACAGTCCGCACCTTGAATATATCGTGTAATTTTGCACACCAGTTGTAAAGAAAGATATTGCAAAACTAGAAAAAGTGCAGAGGCGAGCTAGAAAATTAATAAATTATGTGGATGCAGGGTCAATACAAACTGCTATGAGCTAATCTGTTCATTAGCAGGAATATGCAAAGACAAGAGGTCACCCATTGAGACTGGGAGAGAGGCGCTTTTGCTTACAGTAGAGGCAATATTCTTAATAGCAGTGGTTCCCAAAACAGTCCTGACGGCTCCTCTACTAGTCCCAGATTTAGGGATTAACAAGTTTTTTTTTTCTTAAAACACCTTAGAGACAACTGGGTAATCCTTACATCCTGGACTGGTAGGGGAGCCTTAAAGACTGATTTGGGAACTACTGCTTTACAGTAAGAACAATAAAGATATGGCATTTTCTACAATAAGAGGTAGTCTTATCTGCTTCTATAAATAATTTTAAAAAGACTTGGATACTTTGGTGCATTAACAGAATATTTAATTATATAATTGCTATGTATGTTAACAGATTGTTGATCTAAGGAGAAATCTAGTTGCCATTATGGAGTCAAAGAGGAATATTTTCCCTTTTTGTGGAATAATTGGAAATGGCTACAGTTGGACTTGTTTCCTTGTTTTGGATTAAAATAATGGGATTCAAAGTTGAACTTGATAGATTTTAATCTTTTATTGTTTTGTTTGCAACCTAGACAACTACGTAACATCTGCCTACTGGTAATGTCTCTCTATGCAACGCTAAACGAGAGCGCTTTGCTTCAAGACAAATAGCTAACATAGCTCCTAATTCTTACATCTAAATCTCTTTGCCCCTTTGTCGGATGTTTTAGACTTTTTAAAAATAGTGCAGTAAAATAATAGAGATAATTTAGGACCTGTGTGACTGCATTCAACGAAGAAATGACGTTATTATGAGGAAAAGTGTAACCCTAAAACATATTAGTCCCTTGATATTGATATAAAATTGCACCTTTTGAAATGTGACCAACATCTGTGATTTATTTAGCAAATGTTTTTTTAGTTTGACAGGGACACATAATATGATATGTTGACATCTAGTGGCAATTTTTGGTAAGGCACTCCCTTGGAAAACGAGTACATACACTTTTTTTAAGACAGATTTTTTTTACATTTTAAATACTTTTCTAATCTTAAACATAGGCATGCAGTCCTAAACATAGTTATAATAAAAATGACTCAATGATTTCTTGGTTTTATCTATTTATCCCACCCGATGAGGGTCGTCTATTTCTTATGGAAGTCATTAGGGCACCAAATAGGAGGGATAAAAATAGCCCTGATTGGTAGATTGCCCCAGAGGGTGCAGTGGGATCACTCAAGGAATGTGTCTGTTCTCTCTAGCAGGTCCCTCCCTCCTTCCCCTATGACTGCAGTGTTTGTGGTGGCTGCAGTGCTCACATAGCTGAGTTCAGGCACTTAGAATGGCGGTAAGCACAGCAATACCATTAGGTGCCTGCCACCATGCTGACAGTCCCAGGCTCCATCCCCTAATAGCAGCCTTATATCCAGTGCTCCGGTCTTCAACAGTGGTAGCAGGCATTGCTTTACCATTGGGTGCCTGAGCTGACCGACTCCCCAGCGCCGTCCTATCCCTTACAGTAGCAGCAGTTGCATTTATTTTTCACAAAGACTGGAGGGGCAAGATTAAATTTTATTATGTTCATGCCGCCATGCGGTCTCTCTCCCTGTGTACTTGATTGCCTTTTTAATGCAGGCTCATCAACCATTGGGTGTCTGCCTAAATACGATTTCAAAAGATTCAATTAGTAATCCCAAATCCAGCAAGTTGCGTGGCCAGTGGTAGCAGAAACTATTTCCCTTATGGTGACAGGCAGTGCTCTAACAGCAGCTGCCTGTCACATTCACTCCCTCACCTGCCTCCAATAATCCAACATGATCCACTCTAATGGCAGTGCCTGTCAAATTCCCTACCCTACCTGGCTCCAATGATCCAACATGATCCACTCTAATGGCAGTGCCTGTCACATTCCCTACCCTACCTGGCTCCAGTGATCCAACATGATCCACTCTAATGGCAGTGCCTGTCACATTCCCTACCCTACCTGGCTCCAGTGATCCAACATGATCCACTCTAATGGCAGTGCCTGTCACATTCCCTACCCTACCTGGCTCTAATGATCCAACATGATCCACCCTAATGGCAGTGCCTGTCACATTCCCTACCCTACCTGGCTCCCATGATCCAACATGATCTGCTCTAATGACAGTGCCTGTCACATTCCCTACCCAACCTGGCTCCAATGATCCAACATGATCCACTCTAATGGCAGTGCCTGTCACATTCCCTACCCTACCTGGCTCCAATGATCCAACATGATCCACTCTAATGGCAGTGCCTGTCACATTCCCTACTCTACCTGGCTCACATGATCCAACATGATCCACTCTAATGGCAGTGTCTGTCACATTCCCTACCCTACCTGGCTCCCATGATCCAACATGATCTGCTCTAATGGCAGTGTCTGTCACATTCCCTACCCTACCTGGCTCTAATGATCCAACATGATCCACTCTAATGGCAGTGCCTGTCACATTCATTACTCTACCTGGCTCCAATGATCCAACATGATCCACTCTAATGGCAGTGCCTGTCACATTCCCTACCCTACCTGGCTCCCATGATCCAACATGATCCACTCTAATGGCAGTGCCTGTCACATTCCCTACCCTACCTGGCTCCCATGATCCAACATGATCCACTCTAATGGCAGTTCCTGTCACATTCCCTACCCTACCTGGCTCCCATGATCCAACATGATCCACTCTAATGGCAGTGCCTGTCACATTCCCTACCCTACCTGGCTCCCATGATCCAACATGATCCACTCTAATGGCAGTTCCTGTCACATTCCCTACCCTACCTGGCTCCCATGATGCAACATGATCCACTCTAATGGCAGTGCCTGTCACATTCCCTACCCTACCTGGCTCTAATGATCCAACATGATCCACTCTAATGGCAGTGCCTGTCACATTCCCTACCCTACCTGGCTCTAATGATCCAACATGATCCACTCTAATGGCAGTGTCTGTCACATTCCCTACCCAACCTGGCTCCAATGATCCAACATGATCCACTCTAATGGCAGTGCCTGTCACATTCCCTACCCTACCTGGCTCCCATGATCCAACATGATCCACTCTAATGGCAGTTCCTGTCACATTCCCTACCCTACCTGGCTCCCATGATGCAACATGATCCACTCTAATGGCAGTGCCTGTCACATTCCCTACCTTACCTGGCTCCCATGATCCAACATGATCTGCTCTAATGGCAGTGTCTGTCACATTCCCTACCCTACCTGGCTCCCATGATCCAACATGATCCACTCTAATGGCAGTGCCTGTCACATTCCCTACCCAACCTGGCTCCAATGATCCAACATGATCCACTCTAATGGCAGTGCCTGTCACATTCCCTACCTTACCTGGCTCCCATGATCCACTCTAATGGCAGTGCCTGTCACATTCCCTACCCTACCTGGCTCTAATGATCCAACATGATCCACTCTAATGGCAGTGCCTGTTACATTCCCTACCCTACCTGGCTCTAATGATCCAACATGAGCCACTCTAATGGCAGTGCCTGTCACATTCCCTACCCTACCTGGCTCCAATGATCCACCATGATCCACTCTAATGGCAGTGCCTGTCACATTCCCTATCCTACCTGGCTCCAATGATCCACCATGATCCACTCTAATGGCAGTGCCTGATGATAATATGTTGGAAGCTTTATATAGGAAAACATTCTTATATTAGTTGTTTTTTAAGTGGAGGTTATTGGAAATATTTACAAATATTTAGAAATACTCCCTATCTGCCCCTGCCTCCCCAATATTACAATAAGCATCAATAGGTTTGAGTATATAACAGTTCTACTTACTGTTTGTGATAGGTGTGTGGGGTCTGATTTAGTTTTAGGTTAATGAGATTTACAGACTTTTATAATGAATCCTGTGAATTATTATCTTCCTTATAATATTTAATAATGTAATAATTGTGTGGCACCCTAAAACACGCTGGGTTAGAACATGTTTGTGTATATGGAAGATGGAAGAGTGTGTATATTCTATTCAGTCATTGACCAAGGTTACAATTTAAATTCTCATTCTGTGTACTTGTTTTTGGTAAATTCAGTGACAGAGATCAAAAGCAATAATAAGTTGCATTAATCAAATTAATTTATTATGATTTAGTTAATTTGATAGTTTTAGCAATGATTATATAGATTTAATCATTTAATAAGCAATATACTGCCATGCATTTTTTTTAAGCATGAGCCTCTTTGTGACCTTCTTCAATTCTTATTTCTTGCATCCTGACTTCACTTGACTGGCTGGTTGGCTCACAGCTGGCTGATACTGGGTTGGTTGGCTCACAGCTGGCTGATACTGGGCTGGTTGGCTCACAGCTGGCTGACATGGGGTTGGTTGGCTCACAGCTGGCTGACACGGGGTTGGTTGGGTCACAGCTGGCTGACACGGGGTTGGTTGGCTCACAGCGGGCTGACACGGTGCTGGTTGGCTTACAGCTGGCTGGCATGCAGTTGGCTGAGGTGCCACAGGTGTCACTGTGTCTATTAATGACAAAACCACATACACATATTTCAACTTCATAAAAATACAAAAATAATTTCAGTAATATATCATCATAGTTTAAACAAACACTATAGTCACCAGAACAACTACAGCGTAATGTAGTTGTTCTGGTGAGTGTAATAGTTCACTTCAGGCTTTTTAAATGCAAACACTGCATTTTCAGAGAAAAGGTAGTGTTTACATTGCCCCTAGGGACACCTCCAAGTGGCCACTCGATAGATTGCCACTTCAGGTGCTTTCTGGGTCAGTGCTGGCGAAAAAGCAGCCCTGACGTGCAGCGTCCCCAAGCTCTGCATGGAGACGCTGAATTTTCCTCATGATGTCACAAAAGGGACGGAGCCAGCTGGAAATAAGGTGAGTTTTAAACTTTTATAGGGGGTCTAAGGGCAGGGGGGGGGGCATAGACAAATTTGTTCAGAGCGGGCAAGGCATTCATTTTACTGAATGACCTTGTTGTGATGTTCAAATTCAAATGCATAAAGCCAGCTGTCCAATAGGAATTCACGTTTCAAGTCTAGCAATTAGTATGGAACTGCAAAGTATCTCCATCTGCAAACAATATGGTGGGCCATAAACAAACATCGTAGCCATAGCTATGACAGAGCCAAACCTTCACAACAAAGGGGGATTGTAAAATGTAAGGGACATATTTGACATTTTTGCTCAAAAAGCAAAATACATTCAAAACTGAAAGATATATCTACAAGGTGCAAATGTATCAGCTTTAGAAAAAGACTGAATGCAAGTCATTTTTCTATTTATTTATTTTTCATAGTGAATAACTTACTCTGTTTGTCCGCATGATGGTGGTGGTGGTGCTTCTCATAATGACCAACATCTTTTGGTTGATCCTTGTGACCTCCTTTGACTCCAGACATGGCTTTGAATAAGGCTATCTGCTTCTGGATCCAAATTAAGTAAAGAGAAATTAATGTTTGACTGTTCTACAAAAAGGAGCCTCTTTTATACTCGCTAATGGATGCAGATTAGTCATGTGTTGATTTGGACATGAAGAATGAGGATATTCAGGAAATGTTTGCTTACATAGTTTTACATCCCTTTTGACAGCTGATCCACCTCAATCCCCCTTCAATTGCTTCACCATTTCATGATTCACCAGAATCTTTGTGTCTCCTTAGGTTGAAGAATATACGATTGTGTGATTTTGGGTGGACTCAGCATCTCCCTAATCAATAAGGTGAGGCCAAATAAAACATAATGAAAAACAAATGTGCAGTTTAGTGTATATCACTCTGACTTCTTAATTGTATACCTGTCGTTATATTAGGTGCATATCATTTTTATCACTTGTGTAACAATTTCCACTGGTATAGCAAGTATGAGTAATAATTATTAATACTTCAATTGTGGATTTCTGTTTTTGAGATAAAAACCTAAGAAAACGGCGGAGCTAAGCGTTGGAAGCGGACGGTCGCATGGCCGCAGAGCTCCGGGCTAGAAACTCAAACGAACGACAATTCCGGCACCTGAATCTAAAACCAAACTCTACTGAGGCGATCCTGAGAGCCTCAGGGACCCAATGGGCCGAAAAAACAAAAAGGCAAAACCCGATAAACCCTGCCAGGGAATGGACATCGGAGAACTCTGGCGACAGGAACGCGGTGCAGCAGGAGCCAAGATGGCGTCCCTGCATGGTGGTTGCTCCGACTTCACAGACGGATCATCGGATGACGAAGGGGGAGACCACTTGATGGCCATGCCAAATCCTCCTGCATCTAGGGAGCCACAGCACACGAAAGCCCCCACCCCCGTGACCATGGAGGCTATTGGGGAGCTCATGGCAGATCACCACAGGAAAATTGCGGCCGACGTAGCCCTAATTAGAGAAGACATCAGGGGCCTTACAGTCAGGCTGGGAGCAGTGGAAGCCTCCACCACTAGCCACACTGCCCAGATCGCAGACATCCAAGCGACGATCCGAGACCTGCAGCAGAAATCCTGGCAGCACGAACAACAACTAGCTGCCCAGGAAGACAAGCAACGCCGCAACAATCTAAAGCTCAGAGGAGTCTCGGACTCCGTACCAGAGGCCGAACTGCCACATTTTGTCCGACGTCTCCTCACCGAGCTACTAACGCCAAAGGCAGCGAAAGCAATCAACCTGGAGGGTCTGTTCCGCATACCACGGCCAGGAAAGGCCCCACCCGCCGCCACAGGGGACTTAATCGTTCAGTTCCAATTAGCCAGGGACAAAAAGGCAATCCAGGAGGCCACTAGAGGTCTGTCAACTTACCCCTTTGAGGGGATGACCCTCTCTTTCTACAAGGACCTCTCAGGCGCGACACTAGCATGGAGAAGATCCATGAATACATTTACGGCCCTACTGAGGCTCCATCAAATCCGATACCGCTGGGGACCGGGCCGCTCACTTCTCATCGACAAGGAAGGTACCAAACATGTGGTCCGTGATATGCAGGAGGCCAAGGATACACTGGGCTTACTTAACCTACCCACGGATCCACCATGCCCACCGACACAACCAACAGGCCTTAACCCCTCACTCAGAGGACACAATGCGAAGGCCCCAGAGTTCACTCCCCGGAGGCCACAGATGGACTCTTACGCCACGGCCATCACCTGAGACGGACATTCACCACCCCACAGGCAAAGCCACCAGAACGGGCATCAGGGGACACAACCCGGACTCGCACACTCAAACCCCTCAACCAACGATTCGGCCCATAATGCAGGAACTATAACCCCTTTCAATCGGAGACACAAGGACTTACAGCACAGAAGGCATGGGAACTCTACTCAGCCGTTCTCACAACATCCAGAGACGGACCTTCACAAGCAGGCCGAAAAGAAGGCAGAAGATGCCGCGAAAAACCCCCAGTGACAGTTTGCGTTTTTCCTGCTACAGGATAACCCTCATTTGTGCAAACTATATTGTGTCCGGGCCTTTGCCTAATTCTCATTATAGAGACACTCAAGCTATCTACAGCGGCAAAAGTGCCGATGCTTGAGCGCAGTTATTTATTTATTTTTTTATTCTTTATGATACATCGTTTGATTCTTCAGTTCCCATGTTAGAAATATTTATGCAGGCCTTATCCCTTTGCCGGTGCCCTGCTCCGGACCCGCAACCACGGCCTCCGGAGCGGGCATCGGCTGAGGGTGGGGGGGCTCCCTCACCATCCGGCTTCCAGCCAGAGCCTTTGCTCACACCAAGAGAACTCTGAGTCTACCCAGATGCTCAGATAACCTAGCTTGCTTTGTATAACACAGAGAATAACACGTTAGATTGCATAGCATAGCCAAAAACGTTTTGTTTCATCTGTTCAATATGTATGTTATTTAGTGTGTTAAGTTTCAGTATGCTATAGTATATCGCTAACTCTACCTTGCTACAGCTAACCATACTCGGACAACACAAATTCTCAATGTGTATTGCAGGGGTATAACGCTAACTAACTAGCACACTAACGTGTGTCTGGCATCTTTGCCTACCGTACTGCATATCTTAGACGTGACATTGCCGTGATTTCTGAATATGTGTTGATTGTCTGTACCTAGCTAAGGCACCTGTTAGATGCATATTTTACTATTACTCATGTATTTTCAGTGCTTAACTTCACTTAAAATATAAAAACGTGCACATGTCTTTGTATGCCCCACTGTAATAAATGCCATTGATATAAGCGTGTGGAATGCCTTTGGGGTACCACAAGCAAGTCTGTTAAGCCTATATGCGCACAAAAATAAAGAATTATAAAAAAAAAAAAAAAACTAAGAAAACTGTTTTTGCCTCCAAGAATTATTATTTTTTTCTCAGTCACAAAAATGTGTGTGCCATTCTAGAGAAATTGAATATATCTGATCTTCTAACCCTGGATTTTCAGTTGCCACCATTGACAACAGTTTGTAAATCAGTCGTAACGTATGTATATTATTTTCTAAGCATTTACATTTTATTAAATTGATCTGTAGGGAGCCTGACATTTTAAAAGTGTGGTTTGAAAGTTTTGAATTAAGTTTGTTATTGAACTAAGATTTATAATCATTGCCCACTCAGCTATCAAATGTATTTTCTTGACTGAGTACTGGTAGTCAAGTTGCCCTCATACATTAGAGTCACCAAACACACTCTTTTTGAGTTATCTAAGAACTCTACTTAGACCTTGTGGGGCTTAAATGTTTATATCTTTTTTTTTTTCACCGTTCAACATTTTCCTGTGGTACGGCAAGCTAATTCTGGAAAACATAACAATTTTGTATTGGGATTACTGCACTTTATAATTTTGCAATTTTTTTATGTGCTCATCATTACCTATTACTACCAGGTGAAGGGGATTGTGATGGGGATGGCTTGTGCCCCATCGTATGCCAACCTTCACGTCGGTTGGTGGGAGGAGTTTGTGTTTTTTTTTTTTAGAAGATATGAGGTGTCACATGGAATCCATTATAATCTAGAAATGTTTTATAGATAACGTGTTGATTATTTGGACAGACACAGAAGAAATATTCTACGGGTTTGTGAACATACTTAATGATAGTCAATACAATTTGAAGTTCACAGCGGAGCTTCGCAATCCACCTTTGAACTTTCTTGATACAACATTAACAATAAGTTCAGTAGGTAACATTAAAACCAATCTATATAGGAAACCTACAGATACCAATAGTCTCTTAAATTGGGACTGTTATCCTCCTATCCCACTGAGGAAAGGAATTCCAGTGGGACAATATCCTCGCCTCAGACAAAACTGTTCTGGTCTTAATGCATTCAAAAGCAAAGTAAGGGAAATGTGCGACATGTTCAGAGTGAAGGGGTTAGCTCTGTTGGACACTCATGACTGACAGAACCTAATCAGTAAAAAAGCTTACTTACAGTGATAGGCTTAGCAGTTAGCCTGCTTCTCCTATATTCCAGGTAAGTCTATACTCACAGGTGGGGCTGACTGTCGGTGATAGGCTTAGTAATCATTTGGTTTCTTTTTGACTCTATCATTGTGTACCTCTTTAGGTGGGGCTGACTCTCGGTGTTAGCCATGCATTTATTCCGATTTAGGTCATGTCGTATCTTTATTAAGTGGGGCGGACTCACAGTGATTGATTTAACTGCTCCTCCTGTACTTTGTATTGTATACCTTGTTTCTGCGACTTTGCCGGTGAGAGGCGTATAATATATTTGGCCTGTTTGTATTATGAGTCGATTGAGTTATTTTGGGCTTCTTGCTCTTGTTAACCACCCAGGTGAGTCTGCCTCCTATAGGATCCTTGATTTTATAGTTCCATATCACTTGAGACGTCTATCTTAGATATGGCTGGCAATGATAGGATATGTATCACCCAGCCCCCAGGAACATTAGATACTTGGTGTTAACGTTATATCCCTATCTTTCCTTAGTTCTATAGCAGTTATTTCATTTTGATACGATGTAACAGTATTCTGGTTGGCATGTATCCAATAAAGTCAATGTAGACACTAATCACAATTTATTCGAGCAGATGCTTAGTACAATGTATCCACAACTTACAGTTCTCAGTGTGTTTCTTTTTATGGTATAAACTCGTTACTTTTTGTATCTACTGTTCAATCCTGCCATTACCAGATTGGGGATCCCTTCTTGGGAAACTCTGCTCTACTTTGTTTATATATATTCATAATCTCGGCACGTGCCCAGGATAGAACTGGCACTAGTCTAGCTGACTAACCACTACAGACTATCTACAGACTAGTGGGGAATTTTTATATCTTTTTTTTTTACTATCAATTGTATTGTTTTGCATTCAATTTCAGCCAATGAGCTATGCTCTGCTCAGCTTATCTCAGACAGAGAGCTTCCTACAAAGGAGTGGGCACCGGGCTATGGTAATGGTGCTTTGAGTATTCCTTTAACTCTTTCTTTGCGGACGGTTTTACCTCCAATATTTACCCCTCCTGTGCAGCCAGTATGCATGTGTTTACAGTCTCACCCACCTCTCCATTCCCCACCATAAAACCATAGAAATATGTAATTCAATTATTTTCTGTTAATAAACTATTGGAATGGCCCTAATGAACTATCACCATACCCCAATATCCTGCGTTATGGTGCATTCAGATAGGTGAATGTGCACACTCTGGCCAATGACTTAGTTCAGAGCTGGATTACCATTAGGTAACCAAAGTGGCCGCTTAGGGACCAGTGAGCCTGTGTCTGACCCTGGAGCTTCGGCTCTGGTCAAAAATTGTCCCTGCCCGCCCTTTAAAAAAATATCCTTCCCTCGTGGTCTTTGATGGAGCTGATGGAAATGACTTAGATGAAGCTTTAAAGCGGTATTCTATTTGGTTTAGAAACCCCCTACACACATGGGATTCACCACCACACTTAGGCTGTGAAGGGAGGCCTGTAGATGGGGCACTGGGAGCACCTGATTCAGCACAAGCATGAGTGCTTGTGGAGCAGGGAGCGATTCTGGCTGGAGATGTGCAGTACATGCCAACAATGTTTGAAATGCCTGAGCGAATTGATCCATGCCATGATCAAGTTCCTCTAACTTTGCCTCACAAGTCAACTTTTGTTGACTTAATCCTGCAGTGTCCATGGCCCTGTTGTAATATCAAGATTAACAATTACCCCAAATGCAGAACTTAAGTCAACTAAATAAATCTTAACCAGAAATCCTTAAATGTATTACCAGACTTTAGAATGACAGGATTTAATGTTAATAATAGAATAGTACAGGACAAGCTGAGATCAGTAAACAGGATGGAGGTAAACATTAAGACAAGTCAGAGGTCAAGAAATACAGACGTCAGAATAGTCAAGGTGCAAGCCAATTGTCAAAACACAATGGAATCAATAGAATAAATGCACTCTCGGATTACCAGAATGGCACTGAGAAATATTTATTTTGAGTTTAAATAGCCTAAAAATGACTCTGATTGGCCAATGGTCATCACACGACAATGTGTGTGTGACGTCAACGTGATGGCACATGCACGTTTGTGACTGGAAATAAGGGTTGAACCGATGTAGTCATAAAAGGCTCTATCATGCAGGGCCAGCGTTTCTCCGACTATCAGAGGTGGCCGCCACGGAGGTCAGGTTAAGCTGTACTTGTGGCGCTCCAACAAACCTTATGGGAACACTGTGACAGTCCGCACCTTGAATATACGGTGTAATTTTGGACACCAGTTGTTAAGAAGGATATAGCAGAACCAGAAAAAGTGCAGAGGCGAGCTAGAAAATAAATAAGTAATTAGGATGCAGGGTCACATTCCCTACCCTACCTGGCTGTCAATGATCCAACATGATCCACTCTAATGGCAGTGCCCGTCACATTCCCTACCCTACCTGGCTCCCATGATCCAACATGATCCACTCTAATGGCAGTGCCTGTCACATTCCCTACCCTACCTGGCTCCCATGATCCAACATGATCCACTCTAATGGCAGTGCCTGTCACATTCCCTACCCTACCTGGCTCCCATGATCCAACATGATCCACTCTAATGGCAGTGCCTGTCACATTCTGTACTCTAACTGGCTCCAACCACATATAAAATGCCACAGTGACAGACACCCACTCCAACATTGGGTTCCTGTCACTAAAGCAGTCTGGCCAGTAGTCAAAGTTATTCTTTTTTTAGTTTTACTTATACAATTTAGAATCGGATTTTACTAGTGTATTTTATGACTAAAAAGCTGAATCCATCAGCATCCTTTATTTATTTCTATTCATTTCTATTTCATATTACTTTCAAACAAAAATGTAGAAGTAATCTTTTAGCGGCATCTTGTGGCTAAACTGTGTATTACATTTGTAATTTTATTTTGGCCTCAAAATAGCCTCTTTATTTCACCCATTATTGGAATTTGACAGGATTGTAGTTGTTCCATATAAACACATTCCTATTCATAATTAAAAAGATTTAGGGACATAGTCGAATCCATGTGTCCACTGTATCCCCCAGGGCTGTGGGTGACATGAAAAGGAGAGATGTGATGTCATGGGACTATGGTAAATCAACCATGAAATCCAATGGTTAAATGTCTCTATAGGATATCATGAAGATACCAGAAACAATAAGAAAAGACACTTAAGTCTTTGGTAGGGTTTCTTTTTCTGGAAAACACAGCTGGTGGAGTCATGATGGAATATAGAAATGTCCAGGAGAATGCTTAAAGCTAACAAGGAACTCATGTAGTCTTGGTATACTCATCAGCTCCTTTGGCTTCCATTATCATATATATGCTGATGACACGCAAATCTACCTGTCCTCTCCTGATCTCTCTCTGCCCATCTTGACTTGTATCTCTGACTGCGTCTCCGCGATTTCCAACTGGATGGCTGCTCAGTTCCTTAAACTCAACCTGTCCAAAACAGAACTTCTGGTCTTTCCTCCCTTAAGTGTTGCCACTCCCGTGTCTGTCTCCCTCCAAGTCCAGTTAGATATAGGGCTCAATTTCAGATTCTGGTGTTTAAGATTCAATGATACACAATGATGCTCCAACCTACCTATCCTCCCTAATACACAAGTATGTCCCGCCTAGGGTCCTACGCTCTGCCGAAGACCTATGTCTATCCTCTGTCTGTACTCCCACATTTGATGCTCGCCTCCAAGACTGCATCTTTTCTGTGGAACTCCCTTCCCTTCTCCGTTAGACTTTCACCCAGTCTCCACTCATTCAAAAAATCTTTGAAAACTCACTTCTTCAGGAAAGCATATCATTTATACTGTTATTGGGTTTTCATTGCCCCCCATCCCCCATGACTCCTCTCCTGCAACTGTACAAAAATAACCTACTACGTTCTCAGTGAATACTTTTCTAGCACCCTATTTTATTACCCCTGCTTATACATTTTGTGTCTCTATAGCCCATTCCTTCTAGCATGTATGCTCATTGAGCAGGGCACTCAACCTCTCTGTTCCTGTGTGTCCATTTGTCTGCTTACAATTACGTGTCTGTTAGTCCACCCATTGAACAGAGCTACAGAATTTGTTGGCGCTACATAAATAATAAAATAATAATAATAGTAATAGTAATATACTAGAACAGTTTTTGGCAACCTATGGCACATTTCCATTCATGGTACACGGTTCCACTGAGTGGCACCTGTGGCTGCTAAACATTGCAAGTGGGGCTGAAAACAGCACCGTGCACATGTTAATTGTTGTAACTCTGCTGAGGGCAGGATAAAATATTGATTATTGGTTGGATTTCAAATTTAATATATATATATATTTGGAATGTGGTGATGGTTGTAGGCAGGGAGACACAATGGTGCATGGCTTCTTCTGGCTCTTTCTCTATTCTTGCTGCCACTCCTGTATTTGGTGGTATGCTCTCAGATAAATGAGGGATGTCAATATAGATGTTAGAGATAATGTTTATATGTTACCCATACAGCTTCAGTATCAACAGCTGTTTTTTTTTTTTTTTAAATCAAGGTATGGCCCTGGTCTGTAGAACTGCATGTTTAACACATATGTTGATGTTCTAGGTCTCTGCCCAGGAAGATTGAAATGGATAATGAGGTTAAAAATTTAATGACAACCCTTCTGTTGTCCCTGAATTCTTCACAACCAATCAAGAGTCAAGAGCAAGACATCACCTTTTAGCAAGAAGGTCATGAATGAAACGTAACTAGTATGGGAAGTGGAGTACTGAGAAATGCTACAGAAGTGTTGCTGTTCACTGGATGATAACTGAATTTAGTTGAATTGGTTGCATGTTTGTCATTTTATGCAATAATTACTTGTCCACCATGGTGTCACAATGTTCTCAAAAGACTGAGGCTGGGACAAATAAGTAAACATGACTTGCTACTAATGGCTTTGGCGTGGAAGGCTCATTAAGATATATAAACAATATAAGCATCACAGAAGGGATAGCACTTAGAGTAGAAACAGTGTGATATTTTAAAAAAATGCATTAAGTTAAATGAGTATTAAATGCAGGAAATCTTCACTGAACAAGGCATCATTTCTTAAAGGGACATGCCACTGCCTAAAAATCACTGTTTAGTAGATATACATACAAACTATGCATTTTTCCACTGGGGGGTATATTGGAAAACAGGTTTAAATGTATCTTTTCTGCAGCCCATTGCAAGCTCCCCCTTTCCAATGCCACCCAGACTTTCTGTGGCTGTCCAATCACAGGCTTCCAAGTGCTGCTGAATAAGAAGTCTTTGCAAGGCAGGTGCTCTGAACCATTGCTGCCTCTTGAGTTTAACGCCACTTAGATAAACAACCAGGAAGTAACAGAACCTGATGTCTGATTGACAGCCAGGGGGTGTAATATGGTTAATTTATAAAAGTGCAGATTTCTACAGAAATCTGCACTTTTTGTAAAATAATTAAAAAAAAAGAGCACACACGTAAAGCACTCCAACAAGCTCAAATACTTTAGAGTTTTGTAGTGTCCCTTAAAAATTAGCCTATTGCCTACATTTTGTATTTAATCCAAATGTTTCCAGTTCTCATTTTACTTTAAAATGGTGCAACCCCACATAGATCATCTCATCTGGTAAAATAAAAGGCACATCCGCTAAAGTCTCAAATACTCATACGATCACACATTATTTGATTGCCATCTGTTATAGCAGTTTGTATTTGCCTATTGATATACATTGTGTTGTGGATTTTTTTAAAAATAAAACAGAAGGAAAAATAAATTCACATCAGTTATGTTTATTACGATATCATAGCCGCCATCGTGAAATCGTTGCTAGATAAGTGATTAAAATATTTTAAAGCATGATCAATTACGATTAAATTAAAATTAATAATAAGATGGTCCCGTGAATCAGCTGTGCATGGTATATCCGTGTCAGTGGTGTTTTCCCTGGCTTTGGCAAGGATCAGGTGCGCATGGGTTACAAGCATCTGCAGGTAAGAAGGTTATAGAAAATTAGAAAGATGCATGAGAAGTTACGGAATATATATTTAGTGCAATAGTCAACCTATTTTATGAGTATTTTAATTCTTGTCCCGGATTCTTCTTGTCCACGATTGTTCCTGGGCATCTAAACCCATTTAATAAGGGGTTTTGTATAATGATAATTACATTGCTAGCATGTCTGTGCTCTCAGTTACCTTATAGTCCGCCATCACTGTCCAGTCATTAAGGCTGTTACTTCTAAATCAGCAGTTTGAGGAGTAAGCAAGCACTTTTGGAAATGCTTCTGAGCATAGGCCGGGGGCTTTGAGGGCTGAAGCCCCGGATGTGAATCTTTTTAACCCCAGATCTCTACAGGTAGTAGACAAGGCGGTCAGACATTAGCATATTTTAGATATAGCTCTTCACAAGTATCCAAGAGGGAGGAGTTGGTGCTGCCAACGGACTGTCAGGAAGAGGTTGCTGTACACTAAGCCTCTATTAGTTAGTCTATGCTTTCATTGAGATACTGGAGGGAACAAGCAGCATGCTGTTTTTGGGTGGAAAGGAAGGGACGTAACAGAGGGTAATGGGTTTATGCCTCTCTTTTAGTGTAGGGGTTAAGTTTTCCTTGTTTCTGGAATGTATGAACTCTCGTGGTTCTGAGAATTTAAAATCAATTTTTTAGTTTATTCTAAAAAGCGGTCTAAAGCAAGGCACGCAGCGTGGAGACCACCGGAACCAGCTAACACACTCCATTGGTGCCTCCAACCTTTTACATTTTAGCATCACTTTTTAAGACGCATGAACATGTCTGTTATTATCCCAACAACAATAAAATATATAATCCTTGAAATGAATGAAATTATTCAAGAATGGACTGCGCTTCACAGGAGTTTTCAAATATGAGTAGCATATCATATAGAAACACTGCTTCCCTATCCCGTCCCCCACCCCAATGAATCTACAAACAGCTTAACAAAGTGATATACATTAGTATAAACAAACTACGTAAATTACATCAAACACATTAGCATAGAGTCACAAATACTATTTTGGTATTATAGAGTAGGTATAACAAAGGAGCAAGACATTTAATACCCTGTTGATGGATATTTGAAATAAATTGGTGGGTATTTTGGGGGAAGCAGATTCACGGTATTTGCTAGCAGATTCATAACATTGATATTGCAATAAAAAAAAAGTATTGTCTGGCTAAAAAAGTTTTGCAGAAAATCTCTTGATGTACCCATTTTTATGCTGCTAACATTAGATTGCGATCCATTTTATGTAATGCCTCTAAACTTTGAATATTATTCTGGTAACCCAGTTGATATTAAGATGAAATTATTTCTGGTACTTTCACAACACAGGCACTTTTTACCAGTCTTGAGCACAGAAAAACAACCATTGAAAAGGAGCCAAATGGACAGACCAGGAGTATAAATATGTGACAGATGTCCCGAGCAAACCTTTGAGAAATGTGGTAAATCTGCAAGCTATAGACGTACCACCATTAACATCCCACCATCCCCCAAAATGTCACATGGGAATGAGTGTGTCACCTATAGAAGATGCATTCTGGTATCTAGTTAGATAAAATTATTAAAATCTGGAGCAGGACCGTGAATTTTTATATTTTCTTACAATTACAGATATGAGTTTTATTACATCTGAAACACCATACTAGTGTTCAGACAACTAAGTATGTCCTCAATTCAATACATACCTTTCTGGTGGCCTTGGGACTGCTGGCCAGCCTTGCATGCTGTAAGAAAAATCAGACAAGCATTAACCATGTATATTATGTATAAAATTATTTTTTATAATTAACTGAATTAGTTTGACGTGTATTATAAAAATTTGAAGTCACATTTTTAAAATTCTGGTGAAAAGATAAAATAAAACAAGTTCAAAAATCTAGAACCCGTGGAAAAGTTTTAGCAAAAATATTAGTGATCAACAATATTTTAATATTGCTAAATACTTGGCAAGGGTATATTCTACTTTATGTGACTATATATGAACTACAAATAATAATAGTCTTTTGAGTGCAGGATTCTACCATAAATATGTATTCTCAAAAAAAACCCATCAAACTATCTCAAAAGAATAAAAATACAATTCTTGTTAATAATACGTATAGAAGGAAAGGTTTAAGCAATGCAACATGTTCACATTTGATTACGAAATAGCCAAAGAAGAATTCTATTAGTTTTTTGAAGATTTTGCATAATACTTACGGTCCTTGCAGTCACTTTTTTGTTGACATGGGTCTTGGCATACTGACTGCTTCTGGCATGGATCCTTGCAGGGATCCTGGCATTGAGACTTTTGTTGTCCGTGTCCTCCTTTAACTCCAGACATGGCTACAATTTAGTTCTTTATGATGTGTTCGTGGACTTAATGATCAAGATATGTAGGAATACTGTGGAGGTGCACCTTTTATATACCTGAGAGGCCTTCCCACGTTGGTGGATCATTCTAAGGAATAATTTTACTTTACGAGACCACAAATCAAGATATGCCAAGCATAGTCATCTTTTTACTTGAGTTATTTTCTTCAAAAGTTGGGTGTTGTCCTCTCAACATCCTACTACTTATGCATTTAAAATAAAATTTTATTACCAATGATTTACACAGCCCTAGATTTCAAAGCATCTCTTTGATGCAGGATAATATTTTTTAGGAAAAGATGAATTAAAGAAGATGACAGGTTAGGTTAAGGGTGTGATCCAAAGTTAGAAAACCTGGGACGTTTCTCAGCGTCGATTAAGATTTGTATAGTTAAAACTTATTGAAGTCTATATGAGAATTGTAGACATACCCCCTACTTGTGTAATGTAAAAAAAAAACAATAATGAAGATATAATAAAATAATATTCATGCTTTTCGAAATAAAAAGAAAAAGTAAAATAATATATTAAAGATATTAAATACACATTAAAATATTTGCAATATATTTTTTGTTGATATCCAAGTAAAGTACTCCTAGGGGTACTCATAAAATTAGAGACATTGTGACCGTTTTCAGTTGAGAGGCATTTTAGGTGTTAAATAAATATCAGTTCACCTTAAAGGAATACTCTGGATTTGAAAAAATAAATTTATTTATAATGTCGGAATATTGGTGAGTTTCCCGAGTCCACTCTGTTCCCCTCTGAAAATGTTTTTTTTTTTTTGAATAAAGACCTAAAGTAGCTCTAATCCAGTGGAGAGGCAAGCATTTGATGCACCTTGTCTCTGCCAATAGAATGCTTCTCTAGGAGACACGGCGCATGCACAGTAATTTATGAGAAGTATTGATTTCCGCTTTGTGCTGAGAAACAAAGCAATCAGGAGGAGCATCTATCCAGCTGTTTGACAACTAGAATGGTGCATTATAAAGAATCATATAATTTTCAAATAGTTTGACATCCTATCTGGAGTCCTCTCATCATCCTTGTAGTGCTTTATTTAAGAGAGCTTATGGAAGTTTCTGTTTGGTAACTGCCGCCTCTCTGGTGTTAGTAGTGGAGGTGGGGAGCGGCATCTGAGCTGAGCCCAGGCAAGAAGTCAAACTGTTTGAACATGCTTTGACTCCTTAAAATGAGTTGGGGCACCAAGGCACTCCTGAACCATAACCGTTACAGCAAGCTGTAGTGGTTATAGTGCTTGAAGTGTTTGTATAATTCTAAAAATTGTAAAATCAAATGAATAACACCATGTCCTGTCTGTGTCTATTAATTATTCACCTTATCATAAGCCTTAATAAATTAATTACTACAAGAACTATCTTAAAAAAAAAAACAGTCTTGTAGTAATTAATACCACAAATTAAGACATTTTTTTCTTTGTATAATACTAACACCATCCAGAATGCAAAAGTCACAAATGTAAACACTATAATCAATTAAAGTACAGAATACAACACATTGTTAAAACTATTTATATGTATATAAACAAGATGAGACAGAACAGTAGTGCATATTCTACATATTTCATCTACTTATATTGTGGAGACATTGCAGAGTAACTGTCAGACTAAATGTGGAATGTTAAACCATAATCCGTCATAAAACACAAATGTAGTGCTTCGTAGCTGGATGTCATGTGTTTTGGAGATCAGAGTTATTTATAAATGTGTGGTAAATAGCTTAACAATGAATGCATCCACAAAATATACATGGAATCACGTGTGACTATATCTCCTGCAAAAATGATCAGAGTCAATAATAAACACACACCACACTGCAAATTAGGAATTCATGTACCACTATTATCAGTGTGAGAAAGGTCCATTGTGCTCAGTCAGTTGATGGCCAAGGTTGGTGGGGATTTAAATCCACAGCAGATGTCATGGCAGGCTCGAAATCTCTTGCTAACCAATGTTTGTTCTAATAGAACACCATCCCAGCTTGGTCTGTGTTTGCTGAATTTAAATAGAAATGTAATCCATAACTGCTCCTATGGCAAGCCTCCAACTTAATAGAAGCAAATAAAAATGAATGATATTTTAATCAAGAAAACTACAAAGTAGGATTTCCCCCCCCCCATTCTTTACTTCACGTCAGACAGCGGGTCTTACAAAAAGAAATAGCAAAATACCATTGATAAAATGAGTACATCAGGCAGTACAAGTCATGGTATATACATTAGACCGGTTGTCCCCGACATTGTTAGTTCTAGTAGGAGGTAGTCCGTAGAGTCATGTTATCAAAATGGGGTGAACATTGTGAGCTATTTCCCAGTTGAATACCTATGTATAGTGCACAAGGTGGTATCTCCTCCTATGCACTGTTGTAACTTCCATTGTAACTCATATTGTCAGTACTTTCATCCAACCACTCTCTGAATACTTTTTAACTGTAAAAAGTAGATAAAGTAGAAAAGAGGTTAAAATAGGGAAAAGAAGAAAGAAGAGGTGTAGGTGTGAAGAAGGAGGAACAGGGAGCAAGATCCTATCGCAATGAATTTCACTCCAGTCCTCCTCTGTAGCAGTAGTGTACAGGTAATCTTAATAACCCTCTGCAAGCAAAATAATGTTCGAGATTGGACTACTAGTAGTGGGAAAGCGTGAAAGGAGGCAGAGACGCATAGTTAGACCCCTAAGTTCAAGATTCAGGTCGGTCGTCGGGACGATAGGTCCAGGGACCAGGGACGGATTAACATAGGGGCTGATGAAGCTGCAGCTCCAAATCCAGGTCCATGGAATAGGCCCATTTAAATAGGCCCATTTTTTACACACTGCTCTTAGGTCTGCCATATGACTGGTATTTTACCAGCACAGACGTTATTTGAGGCTGCCTGGCCAGTAATACCGGCAATACAAATGCAGATATTTTTCTCAGTATAAATGTATAAACAGGGATTACTCTGCAATACCAGCAACAGTCAGTAGGGGTCACTGTGTGTGGAGAGAGGCAGGGATAAGAAGTTACAGCATATCCCTCCCTGCCTCTCTCTACTCACTAATCCGCAGGGGAGCAGCTACAGAGCACAGAGAGTCTAGACAGCAGCTCCCGTCCCAGCCTGCAGAGACAGCATACAGCTCAGGGAGGTGAGGGATGAGGGGAAAGGCAGCAGGGAGACATGGGGACATTGAGACACTAAGGGACACATGGGGACACTGAGACACTAGGAGACACTGTGAGACATGGGAACGCTGAGACACATGGAGATGCTGTGAGACATAGGGACATTGGGATACACATTGGGATGCGGAGACACTAGGGACACAGTGTCCTCATGTCTCCCAGCCAGTGCCCCTAGTGTCTCTGTGTCCCCATGGCTCCCAGTGTCCCCTAGTCTCTCAGTGTCTGTGTCCCTAGTGTCTCAGTGTCCACATGTCTCCCAGTGTCCCTAAATGTCTGTGTCCCCATGTCTCCCAGTGTCTACATGTCCCCCAACCATTGTCCCTAGTGTCTCAGTGTCCCCATGTCTCCAGTGTCCCCAAATGTCTGTGTCCCTATGCCTTCCAGCCAGTGTCCCTAGTGTCTCAGTATCCCCATGTCTCCCAGTGTCTGTGTTATTGTTAGGAGCAGGTTTGAAGGTAAATCTGGAGCAAGGAACTGAAGTCTCTTTTGTATTTCTTCCTTTGTTAACGGCTTTCCTTTACTGCTTTTCCTGGAAGGTAAGACAGTCTCAGTCTTTTTCTCAGGTGATATGCAGGAGCTTGATTGCAGTAAGACAGAAACAGTTTTGCATAGTTCCAAGAGACTTTCAGCAATGATTGTTAGAACGTTGGTTAACCCTGTAGTCTCCGGTTTAAGGCCTTTACATTGAAGTTAATGTTCTTATTGAAAGACTTCATATCCTGGCTCTTGTGAACCTGCTTCAGACTTACCTTCAAACCTGCTCCTAACAATAACCTGCTCCACCCTTACCTATACTTCAAACCAGCCTGCCTCTGTAACCAGCCTTCCACTGTTAACAGCCTTCCACTGTTACCAGCCTGCCTTTGTAACCTGGAAATTACAGACATTCATTATTATTTGCAAGTAACCTGTTCTGTGTCAATTATCCTGTTTGGTGGCCTATTGCCTAAAGTCTGTTTTCATTCAAGTTTCATAATATGTCTAAAACACTAATAAAGTATCTGAAGTCAACCCTGGCATAAGTCTTCTATCTGACCTGCACAAGATCATGACAATATCTCCCAGCGTCTGTGTCCCCATGTCTCTGTGTCCCTAGGGTCTCTGTCCCTATTTCTCCCAGTGTCCCCAAATGTCTCAGTGTCCCCATGTCTCCCAGTGTCCCCATATCTGTATCTCCAAGTGTCTCAGTGCCCCCATGTCTCCCAGTGTCCCCAAGTGTCTCAGTGTCCCCAGGTCTCTCAGTGTCCCCATGTCTCACTGTGACACAGGACACACTGAGACATGGGGACAATGGGGGACAATGGGAGAAATGGGGACACTGAGACACTGCGAGACTAGGGGACTGGGCGACATGGGGACATTGACACTGTGATACATAGGGACACTGATGCCAGGCTGGCCTTCCAATTCTGTTTGCCCCTTTTTAGCAGTTCTGGTCACATGATTCGTGTCAGTTGCCCACCCTTTTACCCTGCCCATTGACTTCCTGCTTCACTGGACACTGCTGTTAGGGGGTATGGATTCACATGAAAGATGAAACCATATTAGAAAGAGATTAGCATATATTGTGTGTTTTCTCATGGCTGCACCCTATGAGTTTCCCTCCAACACCATCTCTATCAGATACACGACATTTGAGAGTTATGACTGTTTTAATGTTTTTGGTTGATAAGATTCTGTTATTAGGCCCCATCATAATTGTCAGCACCAGGCCCACTGGACTCTTAATCTGGCCCTGCCAGGGACGTATCTTACACAAGGCAAACAAGGCATCTGCCTTGGGTGGCACTTTGCAGGGGGCAGCAAAAAAAGGCGCCCTGCAAATGCCCAGTCAGATTCCTTGCTTGCATTGTGTCCTGGGGGGCTCAAGAGCTGGCCAGCTGGCCATTTTTAAGCCCCAC